CTGTAGTGCTGAGGGCTGTGATTTCACTGGTTGGGTTTTAGTAGCACGGCAAAATCTCCCGGATTGTTCATCCTCAGTACAATGCCTCCATTGTTGCCCCTCCACGCCAGTTAATCACACTGTTGTGAAATTAAAGGTGAGAGAAGTTTGATTTGGTCCAATTCTGTCATTGGAGTTTGGCTCATAAAACCCAGAAACCATTTACGTCTCCACACTTGACAGCATGAAAGCTGCACTGCAGAGTTAAGATGGAATGGCATATTTACCAACTATGGAAAACGTTTAATTTGACAAGTGTGGCTGACAGCCTGTGATCATTTACACGGGAGACAGAAATTTATAGCATTTGCATCCTGTCACCTAATGCCGGTAATGCTGAAAAAGCCAGCAGAGCTGCTCCTCCATGGATCAGACAGCGCTTTACAGAGGGAAGTCAGTTTTTAAGGACCTAACAATGAATAGTGGTATACAAAATTCGAAGTTTTTCACAGGTTTTGACACGTGGACATGCATAAATGTGGTGTAATTTTTAAAAAAAGCTTAAATTTTGCATCCAGGTTTACAGAAACAAATCCAGATTGTACTAACATGATAGGAACAGCTGCCATAATTATTTTCTAATATGAAAATGAAAGCAGTACAATCTAATAAGTTCAACTTTAACTTCGATAACTCAACTGATGCTTTTGTGAAGTGGGTTCCAGCTCTTCGTGGACTGGAAGATGACAAACACTGACCACTGGGCTCTCAAAAGAGGTTCACGTCCTTTCTCAAACAGGGTGATGTGTCACAAAGACACTGCCTGAATCTCTGCAATTTGTGTTGTTTCTTTTCTTTTGTCAATTTTCACAGAAAAATGAGCAATCTTTCAGGTCAAGTTTTCATTTAAAAATGACTCAGTTGGTACGTCTAGCACTAAAAACACCATCTGACTATTAACAGTAACCAGTCAAACCATCATCCCAGCATCATCACAGGGAGCTTTGACTTGTGTACTATGACGTATGAGGTTTCTTTTCACTCGTTTGATGCAGCTATCAAGGTTAACAAATGAGCCTCTATAAAAACCGGACCGGGCTGAATAATG